TCCTAAACAAGGAGCTCAGACTACACTATACTGTGCAGTATCTGAGGAGCTTGAGGGAGTGAGTGGCAGGTATTATTCTGATTGTGCTGAGAAGCAACCAGCTGACTGCGCCAAAGATGATCATGCTGCCAAGAAGTTATGGGATGCAAGTGTTCAATTTGTTGGGTTTAAGTTTGATTAAAGCTGTCCTAAGAGAAGTACATAACCAGATGTTTCTATCTTTCTAGTACTCTCGTCATCAAATGTCCAGATAATATATTTTTAGATAACCAATCACAATTCGTCTGCATATAACACGGCAACTGATTGGTCGTTGTCGATACTACTTCAAGAGACAAGAGAAGAAAATTTTAATTTGATAGAGGCAAACAAAGTTTCCATTACAAGAATACCTTTTGCAGAATTTCTATAACAAAGGCTTTAATAAATAAATCTAGTTCATATTACAAAGTATTTGTAGATAAAATTCATTCCAGCTAGTCTATTAAATAATTTCCTAATCTAGTGTATATATAGAAAAAGCATGACTATTAAATTGTACTTATTTGTACTTTTTTGTGAGGACTGTCAGGGTCATGCTCAAATGTGCATATGGTTCTACATTATAAAGTTTTCAGAGTACTAACAGGAATGTTTTCAGACGGTCCAAGGTCCGACGTTAACGATTAAAAAAATATCAGGCTAAAACAGGGTCAGGGTTAATACTTGAGTGTATTACCCGAAATGTTGGGTTTCCTGTGCTAAATGTATGCCGCGTTATCCTGAGTTCCAATTTATTGCAAAATGGCAGCCATCTTGTTTGGTCGGCTATGTGGCCGAAGTTCGCGTTTTGGTAAGATTTATCATCCTTTTTGCAATTATCCAAAAATTAAAGTTCATTTATTGATTTCTGTCCTGCAGTGATTAGTTCAACAAGACCTATTTTAGCATCATCTTCAATGACATGTTTTCCAACAATCCAGAATCAAAAGGGTGAGTTTCAACGACGTGCTACAAATCATGACTTGCGAGTAAATCACTTAAACCCATTTGTATTAGAATGTTTAAGGTCATTTTGTGTTAAAGCTACGTTATGGCATTTCATCCAATGGCTTATTACCGTTTCAAACATCGAACCTCAAAATGTTTGAGGGGTCATCGGCCGTATTCAAGACAAATAAGAGCTTAACTTACTTCAACACTATGCATCTGTTTTTCTTTGGTTCTCGTGAGCAGCAGAACATAAGCAAAAAGATATGAAAGAAAATTTCTCAATCTGTAATACTGTAGTATGCTTATATTTTATGTTATGTCATACTTTACTCATATGCTATTCAGCAGATGTGTGAGAGAATTTTCCTCCCTGAGCCTTTTTGTCTTGTGTCAAAACCATCCTCGGGAACCCAGGATGTCGTTCAGAAGATTACCCCTGGGTTCCCTAGGACGGTACCAAAACATAAGACTAGTCTAGGGTAACAGAAGTTTCTTCAAAATTTTTGATTGGTTCTTGAAATAGAAACAAATGCCACTAAAAATAAAGTAAAACTAAACACCAAAAAAACATTGAGTTTTGTTTTGATATGTAAGCTGAAATTTTTGCTTATCATTTATGAAGTCAGTAAAGATCAATTTAGATTGGATCTGCTCTTCTGAATGTTGATGTGTTATGCTTTTTTCCAGTACCACTAACTAAGGCTATTCACTCTACTTCTTCAAACAAGAAGACAACACTAGGTTTGTAAGATTAACAATCAAAAGCCAGTAAAGTCACTGTACCAATTCATATGTGTCTATGTCCTATCAAGGATTTGATCAGAGATACTTAAAGCAACTTTTAGAATTTCCTCTGGTGTAGAGTGAAAAGATTTATCAAATTACCAATGGAAAGTGATTGTAAATCCAGAATGTATTCATTTCTGGAGATGAATTGTAATGTAATTTTCAGTGATTTTTAAAAACTAACTGCAGCATCTATTGTGATGTTCTTTTCATGCTCACTGCTTTTTTCCCATTATGTTCAGAGATTGCACCATCTACAGCATCGACACACTGGATACTTGAACGGGGTTTTAGTATTGCCTTGTTAGCCCTAATCCCTGCTGGTATTTTTTATCCGTGTGCTGCAGTGGATTGGGGGCTAGCCATCTGCATCCCTGTTCACAATCATTGGTGAGTTAAAAAAAATAATACTAATTGTTGAATTATCCTTAATTTGATTTAGTTATGTATGATTAAATGACTAAATGAACACCATCATTAATGTCTATCATGAACTATCAGCATATTGACACTCTTTTATTTTATTTTATTTTTTCCTTGTCTTATAGGGGTATCCATGCAATCTTGGCAGATTATGTCAACAAAGGTCCTAAAATGCCTGCCAGGGCAAGAGGAATCTGGCTTGTTCTTACTGTCTTACAATTTATGGGTCTTTGTTACTTCAATATCAATGATGTTGGTATCTGTCAAGGCATTAAGATGATCTGGAATATTTAATAAAATGTACAAAACAAAGAAAGAAATCCCAGATGGAATCTAAGAATAATGCAAAGACATTGAAATGAACTTTGAACTAATCAAGTGTGGCTGGTTGAAGAGGGTTAGATTGCATAACTTGAACTACACGCTTTATTGTGTAGACTGTTTCAGTATGCATACTATGCAAATAAAGAGAGAGAAGAAGTTGTGCTGTTATAGCAGTGCAAATTTTGATTTTTTTTTACAGTAAAGAGAATATATTAAGATATTGGGAACTTCAGAAAGCTATGAATAATAGTAATTATTCATTGGATAAGTTGTAAAACCAAAAGTTAATTAACCTGTAATGTACTTTTCATTTCATTGATAAATGCTTACTGTAAAACCTCCTAGCCATTGTAAAAACCATATAGGAACAAGAAGTGTTGATCTTGTAAGAATAAACCATGCTTTACTTTACTGTTTGGCATAAACTTAGGTCTAAATCTGCGATTACTTATACAAATATTCCAATGAGATCCCCTCCTTTTGCATAAAAGACCACATTCATAAGAAATTATCATAATAAAGTTTAGAGCCTGAAGTCTATTCTATTCTTTTTTCTTACTTGATGTTCCTCAATGTTTTTTTTTACACAAAATCTTTTGAAAACCGGAAATGGGTTCTCGCCTCTTTTAGAATCAATTAACTCTAGTACTTCCGGTGCTAGGTGGCTCAGCTGATTCACCTGTTTGAGTGGACTGTTGTGGAGAAAAGTGTTGGCAACAAAAGAACATCTCATCGTCTAAACCACCGATTAAACATTCTAAACCACGTCAGGTTCGCCTGACGATGGAATTCGATCACGTCTTGAAGATCGTCGGTGAGTTTGGACCTCATCAGAAGAGACTGTATTTTCTTTTGTGTCTGTCGATGGTTCCCGCAGCCGTTCAGCTCTTACTTCTTGTTTTCATCGCCGCCGAGCCCACATGGATTTGTCTGGGTTCTTCATCGAACAACACATGCCCTAAGAATAGGTCTCATTGCGGAGAGAGGCAGTATACTTCAAAATTCACGTCCATCATCAGCGAGGTAAGATTATAATCTTGTTGTCATTCAATTATTGTAACATCTCACTCTACCGCAAAATGAATAATAATGAAGACTGAAGTCATAAAAATCTAATTAACAAAAGTTACATAAAATAAGCTTCATTTTGTTTGAATTTGACTTTCTTGTCCCGTAAGTATAGCTCTAACTAGTTCTGATCTAGCTATAGTTCTAACTAGTTGTGATCTGAGTACCATTTTGATTATTTTTAGTAGGGGCTTTTGATTTACGGTGATACATTAAATTCTACATGACGTGTACTTTTCCAGTCCGGAGTTATGAATATGCACATTTTAGAACGGTCACAAGGCATATGATCGATTTTCTGAAATGCAAGAAAGTTGTTTATTTATTTAAATCCCATTTCGATTGTTCCTGATTTTTGTCCTTGTGATCATTCAACCAGAACAACTTTTATTTCGAGTATTTTTAAATAAGCATATGAATCAATATTGTGCATATACATGTAATTTCAATCAATTGTAATTTGTTGAGAAGTTTCAATTTTTCCTTTTGTTTCTTTTTAAATGACCAGAATTATTATAATTATATATGTTAGCTATCATAAGACCCTTCTACATGTACTTCAATTCATACTGATTTGATTTCAAGAACAGCTGTTTATCTGATTTTCATTTTGGCATTTTCATTGATCCATTCATTCATTGATCCATTCATTTATTTTCTCATTCATTTTTTCCTTTAGTGGGATCTCATATGTGAAGATGCTTATAAAGCTGATCTTGTTCAATCAATTGTTATGGGGGGTACCCTAGCAGGAGCCATTTTCTTTGGAGCACTAGCAGACAGATATGGACGCAGGAAAATCTGGTATCTCACATTTTCTGGGCTTGTGGCATTTGGATTTGCCAGCTCATTTGCACCAACATACAAAGTATTTGTAATTTTGAGATTTTTTACTGGATTCTGCATTGGTGGTGAATTATTATCAGCATTTGTCTTGGCAACTGAGCTTGTTGGTCCATCATACCGTGGGTTTGCTGGTACAATGGCACAATGCTTTTTTACATTAGGACTTCTTATTTTGCCTATTGTGGCTTATTTAATACGTGAATGGAGAACATTATCTGTGGTGCTCTCTTTGCCAGCTTCAGTTTTTGTATTATTTTTCAGGTTTGTGTGTACAAATTTGTAAATTTATTTTATTCCCAATAGACTTTATTCAAAATGAGGGGGGAGGGGATGGTGGGGAGGAGGGGTTGTAGTGAGTAGGATAGACATCAAATGAAATAAAATAATGATTTGAGTGTTCCTCTTTCTGTACATTATTGACTGTTTTAGCAGTCAAGCTTTGATATTAATGGATTTTCTTCAGAATTCTCCGAAGGAACAAAAATATGGTGTCCAGAGTTTCTTTTTTCACTAAAAAAGGTTTTCTCAAAATTAACACAATGAGAGGAGTGTCCTTGGTTTTAATGATCCTTTTTGCCCTGTATTTTTGATATATTTTTCAGATGTGTTCCAGAGTCAGCACGCTGGCTAGTTATAAGGGGTAGAGTGTCAGAAGCAGAAGATATCTTACTAGATATAGCATTAAAGAATGGTATTGCAATACCAAAAAGTCTCATTCAGGTGAACAGACCATTTCACATTGGCTCAAGATATGGATGCCTGGATCTGTTCTGTAGAAGGAGAATCTGTAAAATTACTTTTATATTGATATGTGTATGGTAAGTTCTTAATTATTATGTCAAAACATTAGCAGCTATAATATTATATAAGCTGTGATTGATTGATTGATTGATTGATTGATTGATAGAATGACTGACTGACTGACTGACTGACTGACTGACTGACTGACTGATTGATTGATTGATTGATTGATTGATTGATTGATTGATTGATTGATTGATTGATTGATTGACTGGTTGATTGGATGATTGGATTGTTGGTTGACTGATTGATTGATTGAATTGATTCACAGACTAATTTCATTAATTTATTAATTAATGTTTGTACAGGTTTATCAATACCTTGGTATATTACGGTTTATCATTGAATACCAAACACCTTGGTGGGGATATCTACATGAATTTTTTCTTGTACAGTATAATGGAAATTCCTGCCTTCCTAACATGTTTTTGTTTCATAAACTGGTATGTTTAAGACTTAACTTTAAGTACTGAAAAAATCCCCTACATTCACAGACTATATCGTACATACATTTTGGATTTATACAAGAACAAATCATCAATGACATATGCATAATTTTCTTTATATTTCTCTATTGCATAACAGGATTGGACGTCGTAAAAGTGTTTGTTATTATATGGTTGCTGCAGGATGTGCTTGCTTTGGTTGCTTGTTTATTCAATCAAGTAAGTTATTGTTGCTGTGTGACAATCATAAAATTCATGCCTTTCCATAAATAAACATCTCAGATATAGCATTGCTAATTTTCTTGGTTTTATTGTAATTGACCATGGTATCGGTGTTTCACGTGCACCTTTCTCATTTTACACTTGCGAACTGTTTAATCGTTTAATCATCATGCTTAATCAGTTATTTTTAATATCTCATGTTTTAGGCAGTAACAGTGACATTACATCTACGTTAACAACTGTGTTTGCTATGATAGCGAAGTTTGGTATTTCAGCCTCTTTTGCAGTGATTTATGTTTATTCTGCTGAGCTTTTTCCTACCGTTGTAAGGTAAGAAACTGAAAAATGAAATGCAAGATAATGCGAGTAACAGTAAAAAAATGTCAATGATGAGATTCCAGAGAGATGAATGCCATTAAATAATTTATACTTTGTTATTCATAGGAATGTCGGGATGGGTGTGTGCTCCATGTCATCGCGTGTTGCTGGAATATGCGCGCCATTTGTTGTTTATCTGGTAAGTATGGAACCGTCGCACTTGCTTGCACGCGTTTTCCCGCCACTTTGTATGAAAATACATTTTAGATAAAAACGCGCACTATTTTGTAATTTATACCTAGCTTGGAAGTGCACGTTGAGGGAAGACCTTAATCTTGCTTAATTTTTTATGGTCTATGAATAGTGAATGTATCTGTATAGCCAGGAACTGCTGAAATAGTCGTGTTTATGAAAATCCTTTAAATTCGCTGGAGGGTACAGCCCGAGCAGCCCGAACACATAATTCAATCATACTTTATTTCTTTATGAACGTTCTAGGGGACCTTCTCGAAACCTTTACCAGTTGTCATCTTTGGCTTATGTTCTTTTTCTGCTGGAATACTTTGCCTGGCATTACCAGATACTTTAAACAAACCATTACCAGAGACGCTGGACGATACGACAGCCTATGAGAACCTACGGTCTGGGATTGCATATCAACAATTGGAAATGTCCCATTTAGCGTCTGTTGTACGAGATGAACAGCTCTTTCAGGCAAATGACTCCGACTTTGACTATGACGACGAACTAGTAACTGAAAAGACAACATTCATTTAAGGATCTGTTCATTCCTAGTGCTTGTCAAAAGCGTTGCGAGATGCTTAGTAGAAAACCTGAAGAAAGGGCGGTGCTAAACGCCAGCTGGATACAGGGAATCGAAGTTTTGTGGAAACGGACTTACAAGAAGGCAGTTCATGTCTTCTAGTCTACTTCTTAAAAAGTGCTGGCACTTGAAAAAGACATCGATAATTGTTGAAAAGCAAAGGGCCATGGCAGAAATCCTTTCATGCACAACTACAAATAGCAAAATATAGAGACGGAAAAAAGTGAAAAAACAAAACAACCATAAAATTAACAAACGAGTTACACCAAAAGAAAGAATCAGCTAAGAAATTCCATACGTGAAAACAAATTCCACCTTCCTGTCTTGTACACGGCTCAATAGAAAATCAGAGTTTTCTTTATATCGTTTTTATTGAATAATTTTTATCCACAGCAAAAGTAGAGCAACCCAGTTGAGCCAATTTAAAAAAAAGTTATTAGCAAAAATATTGTTTGCAACATCCAATAAACTTATAAAACTTATTAATAATGCATAAGCTATTGCTCCAATAAGGKYTGACCRWKTAATCAGGTKATTGACCTTGTAAATCTGATACAACCACTAGTGTTGTATCAGATTTACAACACGGTCGTCACCATTGAGACAACCCACACTAGCAAAGGTCTCAGTTTTAGTGTCGCATCATAGACCTTCACTAGGTTTTGAAGCAATCAAAGACGGATAACAGAACTCGCTTATGCAACAGATGGCTTGCTTTCCATGTGGGATTGATAATTATTCAAAATATTCTGTGTTGCAGTAAATTGCGCATGCTTAATAGGGACTAAACTCAGCAGTTACCTTATTTGTCATTTTTCGTCATTTATCTCACTGTAATTCATGTTAATTTGTGTTGGAGTTTTATAAGTCGTTTACAACATTCGCGTCCGTGTTGTATGGGAATTACAATCTCTCGCCTGCGGCTCGAGATTGTAATTCCCATACAACACGGCCGCTCATGTTGTAAACTATACATAAATGATAAATCTAGGCTTTTTTGTTGTAATTCATTATTTTTTACACAAAGATATCTAAGTACACGCAAAAGATTTTTTTAAGTACCCAATAATTAAGCAGTTGTGACAACACCTACGATTCAGCCAGTGATTCAGCAACTGATGCAAATCTTACTGAATTTTTCAGACTTTTTGAGCTCTCTGAAAACGTAAAAGAAATTAAAAGGCTTAAAAAATTATTACAGAATGATGCTTTGATGGGGACATTGCATGGACTGAAAATTACCATCAAACAATACATCAGTGGTCGTTATCTTTTTATAATAGACAGAATTTTTATATTAAAATACCTTGAAAATTTGGGTTTCCATAACCCTTTTGCATTTGACTCAGATGAATATAACGGGCTCTAATCCTAGTCGTTTTAATTTCCTTGAGGGTTCTGCGTTTTCTTTTGCGTTTGCATGAGTTACAGCAGCAACAGCAGCAACATCCGGAGAGCAACAACATAATCAAGATTACTAAAGCAACGATTATTGCCATGCGCACTGTCTCTGATTTTGCCCTCCACCAAACGAGAAACCCTAAAACGGAATATCACTAATAGTTAATAATTAATGGTTATTTATCGATGTTTGTAGCAAGTCGATTAAGGAAAACGTGAAATCAATTTACATGTGCATGCACAATCGCGTCTACAGCTCTCGACTAAAACACTTACAACATCCATTCCTAGAAAAAGGAATCGTTCGACGCAGGACTTCGTCCGTCTTCAAAATAGTTGTGTTTATACCGTACTGAAAAGATATCTGCAAGAAAACTAGAAAATTATGATCTACGTGATTTCGCAGACTATTGGCAGGAGCGGATTGCGTCATGGAGGGGTGCGCACCTCTGTGCCCCTGTTTGGATATTCATGTTATTCCGTTTGCAAGTTATTTTCATACGGTCATGATACGATGTACGCATGGGTTATCAAAACGGATTTCATACCTTCACATGCAGGAGAGAGTTAATTACTTCAAATGTAGAATTTAGAGAAGCTCCAACTATAACAGACGCGTGCTGAAAACTGAATCCTGGGACGGGCACACTGTCACTTTTTGTAAACCTTTGGGTCCAATCTAGCTTGGAGTCGGGCGACTAAATTGGTACAATAGATGATAAGGAATAGTTAGGTTGGCATCCAATAATCCCGCTTAAAAAGCTAAGGAGCTAATTTTAGTACTTTATTACACAAATAAGGCGATAACTTCCTGGAAAAAGAATTAAAAAAATTGGTTTCAAAAGATTTCATTTAATGCTTTTAAAATTGGCTGCACACTAAGTACGAAACGTCGGGTATTGCAAAGATGAAACGTCCGTCACTGATTCTAAACTGACCATGATGCAATCGCCAAATTAGCATGACGTCACAGGATCTGAGACCCACTGCTCATCACTTAATTTTCCTTTACCTTGAGTTGAGTCGTTATGGTAACAGGGTCACTGCATCTTTGGACCGTCATGATGAGCTTTACAGGGTCTGCACTGAGATTAGCGGTACACCTGACTTGCGTACATGAAGATACGATGCTGCATCGACCGAGCTGTTGTCTCCCACTGCATGCTTCCCCTTCCAAACGTTTGAGGAGATTTTGGTCGATGAATTGCATCACTACGGTCATTGTATACAAAGTTGTTATTGATTTATGAGTAATGATTAGGGGATTTTATCATGCATTTTCAGTGTTTATGATCTTGATGATTATATTATGCTGATGTCTACATGTTCTAACCAGTGGCATAACGTCTTTCTCCTGTAAAAAAGTATGCGCCAATTTTCATATTTCATTCACTACCTCGAAGATCTCTTAGATAATAGTGTTGTATATTTTATAGCGCAAACGTTTCAACGTCACACTCATCGAGGCTTCAGTATTTTTCAACATTAGTACACAACTGTCTTCTTACCTTTGTTTGAAGACACCATGCAAAAACATGTTGTCAAAATCATAACTAGCATAACTCCAGGACAGAATCCCATCATCAACTCGTATCCCTGAAAGTGCTGAAGCTCCGCTTTAACGGTCAATCCTTGTAATGCAAAGATGAATTCAGTTAATCACTTGCACATTGTTCACAGTAGAATCCCTAAGGAGTTATCGTGTCATAAAATAAATATAGTGAATATTTATTCAATATAAAAACGGCCCACAAATTAGCATAGAACTATATACTTAGTTCTTCGCCGCGTAGCGTGGACTTTTTGGCTAGTACGCACATGGGGATAACGTCCGCGAAAGTGGGTGGGGTGTCTGGTCCTCTCCCAGGCAATGCCCAGGACATTCTGAAATAAGAACTCTTGGAAATGCGATTTCCAGCGTTTTTAGGGGCATCGAGGGCATATAAAAAGCATCAAATCCCGAATATTTCCTTGCCACGAGTACGCACGTGCTTATATGAGTAAAGAGGACGCTACGCGCCTGAGCAATATTTGCAGACTCCAGGGAGTATTAGGGTGGTTGGTAAGTACGCGGTATGATCTCCAAACCACTCGGAAAACGACATAGCTGTGGTTTTCTTTTTATTATTATGTAAATATGAATTTATAAATTGTGAACACAACGATAATAAATGGATCCCAACAATTAGATCTAGAAAGGGAATTACGACCATATTTGAGGAATAGAGGATACACCCTATGCGTGACTCACAAACCTACCAAAAAGCTGAAGATTTGCCACAAACAATAATTGTCGGCTGTGCATATTGAATTGTTTAGATTTCTACATGGTCAGTAAATAAAACACATCCGTGAAAAATTTGTTAACTCAGTTTGTATCTGCGTGCATAATATTGGACTACCTGTGGCAGTGAGAGATTGGGCTCAAAATTGCGGGACGATAATATATAAAAGGCTAGGAGAAGGGGAAAAAAGTACTAAATATCAAAATGCTTTGTTTGAGCTTTTGAGGGCTTTCCAGTATGGATATTATAGCGCGTATTTTCGACTTGATAAAGCGACGCTACAAGGTATTCCTTGCAGTCCTCGCAGTATTTACAATCGTACTCTACAAGTGGCTTCCATCAAGCGTATATCAACCAACAGAAAAGCTTGTTTACTACAATGCCTGTAGTTTATTCACTTTAAATATCTGGTTTGGACATGTCAAGACAGCTGACCGAATGGCACTGCTTGGTAAAACGATTGAAAAACTACGCCCCACTATAATTACATTTCAAGAAGTCACAAGCAAAAACATTGGTTTTTTGAAAGAGCAAAAGTGGTTCAGCCGATATACAATGATTCCCAATGAACTGCTATCAAATCAAGGTTACGGGGTTGTGATCTTAACTGTATACCCAGTTGTTAATTGGCGTAGTGTACCGTTTAAGAACTCACGGATGGGAAGATATCTCCTTCTAGCAGAGCTCAAAGTTGAGTTTGGCACACAAAGAAACTCGTGGCAAACCTCTCCCTCAAGGGGATATTCTCCAACTTTGAAAGATGTATATATCACTGTTGCCACGTCACATCTGGAAAGCATGGCATACACTACACTAGAGAGGGAGAAACAGCTGCAGCAATCTTTAGAAATATTGAATGACTATGATAACGTTTGTCTGATGGGAGACTTAAACTTGGAGTTGAAGGTAGATGGGGAAATACAGCTACCACATGCATGGTTTGATGCGTGGCTGTCAATAAACAACAATACTCATTTGAATGGAATCACATGGGATCCTGACAATAACCCTTATGTAAAAATGAGTGAGCCTGAATCAACGCATGATAGGTTTGATCGAGTATTGTGCAAACTTAAGAACTTTGGAATAGAAAGTATTGACATTGTGGGCAAGAAGTCTGAAAATGGTATCTTTTTGAGTGACCATTATGCATTGTATACCAGACTTAAGTTTGGGTCTACTCAGACACTTGCTCACAAATCTCCTTTGGTAAATAAGGTCAGGTTTATAAGACCAAAGAACTGGAAGACGTTTACACATTAAACTTTGTTGTTAACAAAGAAAATAGAAGAGAAATAGGCTGAGCTGAAAAAGGTGCTTGACGGTACCATGTTGGACCAAAAGAGAAACATAATGGCTTTTTCCAAGGGTCTCCATTTCACCTGTTTTCGTATCATGTTGTTTCCTGTTGTTGTTTCCATTTGCGTGTGAAAGATACTATCCAGAAAGTTGCATCAGAACATGATAACATATTAAGTAACAATGCGCTTACGAACTAGGGAACTCTCTATTGTTCTGCGGCATAGCAAGTTCCCCATGTACGAATGTCTTGGTTTTTACACTGATTATGTATCCATCTGTGGGTACCACATTTTTGAAATAAAATGTGGATAAACTCTATTTTGAAACAAAGTTTCTTTTGTATTAAAAGCTCTTATCCAATCATAAGCACCCAAAACAATAGCCAAAAGATGCTYCTAATTTGCAATGTTCCCCACATAGAATTGCCTTAATATTGAAGCTAAAGAAAGCTTTCATGAAAGCGAAAACAGACATTAAATAAAATATTAGAAAATTCGCTAACTTGTGAAATTATAGCAGATTTTCATGTTTTAACCAATGGGATGGATGGATTATACAATGCGCAATTAACACCTTCTTGCATTCCTGTGCCGTTTGCTTCCCTAGTTCTTACTCGGGGCATTACTTAATATGAAACATAAAAGACTGAATTGGTCTGGAAATGTTTGCTTGTGCTGTTCTGATTTGGTTCCTGGTCAGCAGGCACTGTGTATGCCATGTCTGTGCCATGCATGTGTGTTTAATGTGTAAGCTAATTATATTGTTTGAAGGATTATTCTTTAGGAAGTACTTATGCATGTGGGATTACTTTGGATTGCTCTTGAATTGAATGATTGGTAAAAAGACTAAAAATAATGCAATAAGCATAGGATGAGGCCCATGTAGAACCACTCTTCAGGTTGCGTTTAGATTGTATTTGTTTCCAGGGGTCTTGTGTCGTTTATGTATGTGGAGCCTTTGGGATTGTCGGATCATGATGGTGCAAAGTGTCCTTTTGTTGGGCTGGGTGAGGGGGTGCAGAGGGGTCGATGGAAGTTTAACAATGGGTTTTTGAAGGATAAGAGGTTTGTTGAGGGATGTAGGGCATGGTTGGTTGAGAGGCGTTGGATGTGTGGCTGAGGTTGAACGAGGAGATTAAGGAGTTTTGTGTGGAATACGGGAAGGAAAGGGCGAGATTCTTGTTAATCTAAAGAGTAAACAGTGCACATTTAAATAAAAGTGCCAGAGAAAAATGTTCTTTAACAATCAATACAAAAGAATCTTCATAAAGGACAATACTAATGAAGTTATAGATGAAGTCATCAAATACAATAATCCTGGATTGTCAACTTCTATTTATAACTATTTCTATGAATTCAGAATTACCAGAGTCAGTTTACTTGACATTAGTGACGTTACTTCAATTAAAAAAGGGAAAAAACCATAGTTAGATGCTGTTCAAATATTCTTTTGTACTCTCAGTGGCTCATACAAAATGTTGTGGGTTTTTTTTGGRGGGGGGGGGGGGGGGGGGGGAAGCAGAAAATGAGATTTCTGCAAATGAATAGTGATTTAGTTGTTTTTTGAGACTGGTTCCCATTCAAATTTATTTTACTTTTTTGTATTTTTACTTTTTTATTTCAAATCTGTAAAACAAAATGTAATCATCCAAGTGTTTATAAAGTGATACACTGAAAAGTAAAATGTACAAAACAAACAATAAAATGTAGTACACATATTTAAGTGTATTTCATAGGTTTACGAAAACAACTCCTAGTTAAGTAACATTACACCAATAAACCTTTACCTGCAATGTGTATTTTGCGCCTATGTGATTATCACATTTCAATAGTCAAATTTTGTTTCACTGGTCAAATGGATTCACACCTTTTCATTTGTGAAATAGTTCTAATTACTACTAAATAGTGTTGACTAGACAATTGAGTGGTTTTCATAAACGCACAAAATGTGATAGTTATTTATGTAATAAAGTGCCAAAGATGCAGAAAAATATGCACTGTTAGCAATAATAAAGTAGGTCTGTTGCAGCTTATTTCATGGGTAAAGGAAAACCACACTAAAAGCAATGCAATCTGCTAATGTTTTTTCCAATCTATTTAAGAGTTTATGTTAGAGTGGTTTTTAATTAAAATCATGAAATAGTTAAATCTGTTATTTTGCACTCTGGTCTATCATATTGATTCAAAAATACAATAATAATATAATAATATAACCATCACAGCATAAAAATAGTCAATAAAATTAAGTGTTGTCGGTGGTGTAATCACTTGTTCAAATACTGGAATTTGCATAAATCATATCAATTTGAGCCACAAACAAACAGCTTGTATTGCAATTTCTCTGAGATGGCTTGAATGATTTACACAGGATAAAAAATCTGTAGCATTATTGATAAACTGCCTTTTATAAATTGCCGAGTGCAGTTAATTCTTGAATTCTAGTCCTATTCTCCTGTATTTCTGAGTGTTAAATTTTGCTTATCATATCAGTACAATAATACAGTATACACAAACATATTGATAACAACATTAAATGAGCAAGTCTACCAAGCCTGCTGTCAAGCTCTCAATTAATAATTAATTATATTTAATCTGCAACAACTATACATAACTAAAAACTAATTTTATGAGGGAATAATTTCTTGAGACAATCATTACTATTGTCACAGTCCCCACGAGACTATAAATAATTTCTAAATTATTAAACTAACACAGGAACGTCCTCTGCATCTCTGTTCTGTCCTTGAACAGCCTCATCTAGTTTGACTTGGATATTTTCAAACCTGTCTCTACCAGTATAGTCTGGACAGCCATTTTCCCATGCTGTTTTTGCATCTACAAAGTTCCTCTCATTGGTGTCTTCCGTCTGAAGATGCAGTAGGTTAAGTTGGTCAATAACTTGATGGATGATTGAATTCTGTGGATAATGAGTGCATAAGAATACATTATGAAAGTCGGATGGATGGTTTGTCTTACGTACAGTGTTACATCCATTAGGTGAAACTATTAGTCTTTGCATGTTGCATGGCTTACAAATCACCCATGCCATAAATAAGAAATGTTGAAACACAAAACACCATAAACATTGTTCCCAACTTGTTTGATGCTGTCGAATGGCGCATCATACACATTGCATTGTGGTAAAGTACATTTTGCCACTCAAAAACTAATGATCAAGCAATGTTGTTTGAATGGCATCCAAAGACCAAACAGTTCTTGTTTGGCAGAGGTTTCAGGCTTGAATTTAGCACAATTGTTGAAACAAAATGAAGCAAAACACCATCAATGTATTAAAGAGAAAGCAGGCAGCCAGTTTCCTATTTTGAGTATGTTTATATGTAGTGTAAAGACTCAGTTTTATCTGTTATACTTATCTCTTCTCATATTTTTATGTGTACAATAAACAATAAGTTTAAAGGTGTTATAAAACTGCCATTATATTAAATGTATGCATATTAAGAGACAATTGTATGTAATGAAAGTTTACTAGGCAGTACCTAACAGACTCACAAGTTATAAGTAGGTGAATAAAATTCAACAACAAACATGCAAATTTAAGCACAAAAAGAATGGTTTCTACTGAAGCATTAGAAGTGGTAAATAAATAATAAATGAGCCAATATAAAAAGATAGAATATACAAATATAAAAGAAATTAGTGGATGAAATAAAAAACTGAAGAACTGAACAAATTGCTTAATTTCTACAAAATGAATATATCAAAAATTTGATTTAATGACAACTAATAAAAATAACAGAATAGTGAAGTTAACTATATCCAGCTTGCCCAAATGCACCAAACATAAAAACAACTGAAAGAACACAACATTTACACACAAGCACACAAATCAAAAATACACAAAATTCCTACGGTATTTGTATATGAGTATGAATCTGAATTGAGCTCCTCCGTGTAATGGATATCTTCGGTATGATTGTGATAATGGTTGTGGTCCTGGACATCGATGTGGGTGTGGTCATCGCTATGGTAACAGGGTTCCTGATGAGTATCTTGGATAGCAGGGCCTTCTGTATGAGATCTACTAGTGTCAGTAATGTTCTCTGAGGGTGTCCAAAAGAATTCATTAGGATCAGGTATATAAGCTGGAGGTGGTTCATGAGCAGGAATCCACACTGGATGAGTATGTGGGATCTCTTCACTGCATTGCTAAGGGCAACAAGCATAAACACTGCATGTGTAGTAGACTTGGGTAACATAAGGCAGGTGAGTAGTTGGCAATTACCATGAATTGATCAGTTTAGGATTATTTATTGGATTATTTTATTTGCCCATGGATTAGGAAAGAATGAAGTGTTGAATGATGTTTATACGTGCATGGCATTGAGTGGTGTGTCTGATTTATTCTATAATGTTTACAATAATTATAATAACTTTATCAGTATTTGTTAATCAAGACTTTGAAGCTAATCACTATGAAACATATAGCAATATTTTTAAATGTTTCTTTCAATTCTACTGAACTGAAAAATAGATTTTTTTAGAGAAATAAAGACAGGAAATGCCAATGCGGCAATTCACTTGACTTTGAACTAGCTTGAAACGTATAGGAAACATGACCTTATATAGTATTAATAGGTGTCAGCGCTTTGCACTAGTATTGCTAAGGTCATGGGTTTAATCCCTGTTCTAAGTCTGAATATTTTAGGATAAGTGAACTGTGGCTTTTGCATTTCCTTTATTATTATTGGCATCTTGCACATCAAGTTACCATTTTATTATACAATAAACATTTCATAGCTCTTAGCAAACCACTGAATAAGATCTAAATGGAAAACAATCAATACTTACAGGCAGTACAAATGTGATGTAAATATCCCACCAGAGTCGAAGGTAACTGCTCTCATGTGCTGGCCCACTGGAGTATGATGGCATGTAAACATTTCCTGTCTCATTTGAATAATTACATTGCCAAGGTTTAACAGGACCAATGAAATGGACTATCTTAACATCTTGACCAAACCTACAAATTAAAATATGCATTTATCATTTGGAATTGAAAAGGAATGAAATATAGAATAAAAGATAGACATGGATGCAAGTAACTCATTTTTCACCTTGTCTCAACTACATTGTGCAATTGGAAACAACAGAAATAGCATAAAATAAATACAAAATTCCAATATAAATAAAATCAAAGATATTATTTAAGTTATAAGTATTTTACTTAAACAATATATGTGATTTTTATTTACATTAGAATTTTGTATTTATTTTATATTGTATATTACAGTGCGGCTACTGAATTTGTGGCCACCTAGAGAATATAAAATCCCATAATTTAGATTGAAAACAAAGGATTCAGACTAAGGAAACCTCATTTCATTAAGCTCAATGTCAATGTCAATGTATTACATACAAAGTTTAAATGTGATGAATAAATGGCAAACAATGTAAAAGAGATAAAAACAGAATGGGAGGGAAAGGATATTTACCTTTTATGAGCTGGTGCATAGGTATAACTAGCATTGGAATTCATATTATAGATAAATGACAAATGTGTTGATATATCCTGTGTTGCCCAGTTACTGAAGAATGAGTTCAATAGACCTTGATCTCCTCCTGAAGTGAAACAAAATAAAATACTAAATTATCATAAACTCCTTTACAATGGATACTTGATCAGCTGAAAAACCTGTGAGCGCCAAATATATGTCTGGGATATGAAGTGGTTTTGCGATTCCAATTTTTGATAAAGAAGACAAAAAACTATAGAAAAAAATGAATTGAAAAGGATTATACAGCTTTAATGAGATTGCCTCCATTGTTAAAAACATTCCATGTATAAATTAGGCATTAATTGAAATAACAAAAAAATGTATTGTGTGTGATATCATATATAATACATGTACATGTATATTAATTTTTGATAGACAAATTAATAGTCTTGAAATTTTTGTTGGATTCGGACCTTAATAGTACATACTTATTACCCACCATCAAAGCTTCCATGGTCAATAGCATACTGAAGTAATGCTTCATACGTTGATCTTGAAGGTTCAAATACAAATACACCTGAATTGAAACAATCTGGCCAACCAATGTCTGGAACTGCTGACAGCTCCCGTCGATCAAACAATTCATCACAATTCTGTAAGACCAACGTATCAGCATCCAGGAAAACACACTTGGAATATTGAGTTAAATTCCAACATCTTATTTTAGTGAAAGTTATCCCTAGTTCTGGTCTTGTTAAGAGAGCTAAGTTTGCATCATCTCCGCTGTCTAATGGATCTACTGTTTCGATATAGTCCCATACTCTGCTTAGCAGTTGCCTGAAAAACAAACAAACAAAACTTATCTTATATTGTCATAATAGTAATAAAAAATATGATTATTTTTATCAAATGCGATCATTAACAAGTACAGTACTTGCATAAGAAAAACCATACATTGCATTGAAAAACAAAAAAGGATTGTGTCAAATTAAAATATTTGTGCATAAATAAATCAGAATTTTGACATTTTCATTGAAGATATATTGTGGTCATTATCATGCCTACAATTGTTTTCGCTAGATGTATTGAGCACATGTAAAAATGATTATTTGGTGAAATGACATGTTCCCACTGTGCCCACATTCGCCATGCTTAAAGTATCTAGATGCACCATCTGTTAGTTGATTTGTATGATAACCAGCATCGACCACTCAAGAATTTTTCTAAATACTGCTTCATAAGATAAAATCCAACTTGAAATATCGAAATTGAATATGTCTGCCTACTCACGTTTCACCTCATCATAATGAATTATTAGAAAGTGAAAACGAAATGGAGATAAAAACGAAAGAGTAGAAGATGGAAGATAATTCTGAGAAGAGTAGGAAGTACAATAATACATAATTTATATTCAGCTTAGGCAATGTGACATATATTCAAGTAGCACTAGTCTAGAAAATAAACAAAGCAAACACTAGCATGCCAGATTTACCATTTACAATACCATTTACAATCAATTTCAAGGATATTTTATGCTTTATTAAGCTTGTAAGTACGGAATAACCATACCATATATGGTATATTTATGAGCAGACAGTGAGAAAATTTGATATCGAAAGAAAATAAACAGTGCTGTGAGTATCCACGCCATTGTACATTACATATTTGACAATCCATAAACATTAAAATTTAGAAATTCTTAACGCAGCTAAGCTAGGACGCCTGTAGCGAAGTCGGGATGGTCAATTCAAAATGTCTGGCTTTCGAATATACCTGTTCTAACTGCGCCATATAAACAGTGCATAATTCAAACTAGAGCAAATACTTACCTTACTGGAGCTGTAACTTGATTAGTTACTAACAGTGCAAGTTTTCTTGTGGTGTTCACTCTTCGTAGAGAGTACCCAAGAACGAGCGCCCCATTTGCGTAATTGTCGTTCGTCACCAAGCTCACAAATGCTTCATCGTCGACTTGGTTTTCGCCCATTTCTACTGCATAGGATCTTATACAGTAATTTAACCAACTAACGAGCAAAAAAGCTCAATCAAAAGGTTCCGATTAAGCTACAGACAAGCAAAAAGTGAAAGCCCAATTCGTTGAACGACAACGACCTTTACTTCGCGCCTCGTGGAATTGGTCACCACTATCTCCCCCAGGGTCTATGTTTTTGTTTGCCTACCCTTCCAGCCTGAGTAGCCTCTCTGTTTTTTTTTTTGTTTGTTTTTTGTTTTTCATTTTTTCATTTTTATTGTTTGAAAATATTTTTATCTGTTTTTTCATGATGACAAGTAGTTGATGCATGTATTAATATTATTTCTCCAGAATTTTAACTTTAATTATAAAAATTCATTAAAGTACGAAAATACGGTTACCAAAATTGGGACTCCTGTGTAAAAGTGCCCGGCTCCCTAGTTACCATACCTTCGCTGTTGTCTTTGCGTAGCAACGAAAAAGAAGCCAAAAATTGACCAAAAACTTGCTAAAATGTGATTACAGTAACTCAGAAGGCACAGCTAAAGAACGCTAAGGAATAGAGGGGCGAGTTCTACCATCATAAAGTTTTACATACGACAAGAATAAGAAATGTGGTGAACAATATGACGACAAGTCAACTGACTTCTTGAAATCTTTGCACTTTACGACATTGACTTTTTGGCTTCTGTTTTACATCTGGTTTAGCTTCCATCTATTTTTCATATAACTTAATGATTTAAAACTACAATGGAAGAAGAAAAACCAGAAAAAGTAACTCCAGAGTTTGAAAACAAGGAAGAATCAGCTGTGATATCGGACTCGAATTCGTCTGAAGTTGTTTCTGGACGCTCTACTCCAGATAATATTGATTTTAAACAAGACGAACCAAAGGAAGCAGAAGTTGACCCCGAAAAAGTTAAACAAGATGTTGCTGCAAGAGGAATAATCAGACCAGTCAAATCTTTCAACAAAAGTGCCACTTTGAGAGGTTCGTTTGTTTCAGACGTCCCGGTGACAAGTGAATCTGACTCGTCTTTAGCGAATCCGAAAGTTGAACCAGACGACAATAATAACATTAGTGACGGACCCCTTTCGTCGTCTAGCACCGCATCCAGTACCGATATCCCCATTAATAATGATGACGGTGAATCTAAAGGACCGGAATTTGTCAAAGTTGGTGAAAGAACAAAAAGTTTTATAACGCGCCAAGTAAATGAGACTGTGGAGCTGTCGTCTGTTTGCACACAAACTGAGAATAGCTGGCTAAAAGATATCGATTTATTTGAAGAGTTACTTAAACAAAAACCAGAATGGATTAATAAAATAAGGCTCCAAAGAAAGGAGTCTGAATCATCAATTAAAAAAGGTAATAATGTTATAAATTATAATTGCCAAGCCTGTGTGCCTTTTTGATATTCTATAATTTGATTTTTTGGTTTTGTAACATTTAAATTATTTTTATAGAGGATATTAGCAAACCAAAAGGTCATGTTCGACGGAAAAAGAAATCACTATCAAGAACAAGTTCATCACCAGGCTCACCATTAATTGTTGACAGTAAGGCTGATGATGAGGAAGTGCAAGTAAGACTAGAGAGCGAAGAGAAATTATCCAGAGGTAATAACTTACAACTCCGTCACCCCATTCTATGTCTTTTGCATCACTTTAATTACACTATGTTTTATAAATTTGCAGAGCCAAGTGGTAGCAAATCTAGACTTTCATTTGGAAGTCCATTACCTCAGACACCCAAAGAAGACATCTTATATCGTCCACCTACAGTTGAGATGTTTTCAAGTAGTGATTCTGAGTATGAAGAGGACTACGCTCCTGACGAGAGCATTCTTATTCCAAGTATAGGGCCACCTGCAATACTTCAGTACTTTAAAGAGTCTCAGCATCCCCCTATAGTGAACAGTGAGATGGATGAAGAGGCACAAGGGAAGGAATTTCTTAAGAAAAGTCTTTTTACCGGTCCATGTATGTTTTGTAAGAATGAGGTTTTACCATTTCCGACAGAAGAAGAATTAGAGAATCCAGAAACTAAACCTGAAGATGTAAGGATTCTTTGAATGTATATTTGTCCACCAAATAGGCATTACAACTAATAACATCATTTTGTTTCACTTTAAAGCTATTTTGTTGTTTGGAATATGAGCGATTTATCAAGTTTGAAATCTCACAACGAGGTGACACGTCACATGTCAGAGATGAGTTGATTGATATCAAGCCTCATCCGCCATATGGTACTAAAGCTGCAAGGAAGGCTGCAAAAGAGAGAGCTGCTGAAAGGGCACGGCAGAGGGAGATGGAAAGACAGAAGGTTGCTGGTGCAAATGCCACAAATTTTTATGCATGTAAGAAGTGGTTTGATTTTCAGAGGGGGGCAAGATTTTCAGTGTGGATTTTTTGATCTTAATTGTGAATTTGGGGATGGATAAAAGTGTAAATAAACAGGGATTTGAGGAACTGGTAGATTTAGGAGATTTTTATTGCATATTTGCAGAATTTTTTGTTAGCATATTCCAATAACCCCCACATGTGTTTCCCCCTCAATTCAGTAGAGCAGATTTCAATTGACTGTGCAATGGCAAGGATAATGGTACAAACACAGTACGGTCACAGAACCTTGCGTGATAGTGACGCTAAATGAAAATAGTGATTCCACAACACACCATCAAGACACAGTTACTGCTTGAAAGTTGTTTTCTTTTTCACAGCGATATGAAATCCACTCTAACTGTGTTAGTGTATTAATAAATGGCACTGTTTATTCATTTGTTACTTAAAATTGTCATGACAGTAACACGACAGATGAAGACAATCACCTATTCCCTGGCATCCACCAAATGTATGGATGAGGGTTGGACAGTCAAACCTTTAACGCCTATACCTGATGAAAGCAGTAGTATATTGGATCCATTTGTCATTGAGGTCAACCCTATACAACAGGTTGGTGGATTAAATCCTGATAATACTGTAGTTATATCACATCCATAACAAAACACTGTAATAGTATGAAGTCAGGCTAGCTAGTATAGTGCATAATGGAAATTGAGAGAAATAGATGTTTTATCAGAAATTAATATATAGTTGTATCAGTCTTTGGGTTTAGCGAAGATCTTTGGCTTATTTTATTCAAGATATGCAAAGATCAACAATACAACACGTCAAATGACAACATCTTGTCTAGCGCCTTTGATGAAGCGATCACCTATGTACATTTGACATAAAGCATTGTAGATAATTTCTTGGGCTTCCTGTGTAATTCCCAAATGGTGCATAATATATAGAAAGATATATTGATAGATACATAGATTAACGAAGAGGTAGAACTAAAGTGGAAGGAAATAATTATAGCATAACACTATTATTAAATGACTTTCAGCAAAAGAGAGCATTTTTGGAGCGTTTCTATGAAAATGGACAAAGATTTCTTATCATCCTTCCTGATGGCTCAGGCTGTTGCTAGTATCCTTTTACACAAATTGCTGCTTTTTTTAAATTGATGCTACAATTATTTAGTAATTGTAATTTAGAATTCATGTAATTAATTAAATCATTATTTGTGGCAGTAGCAAGGACCAATATTTTTTCTGTAGACTGTTTGTTCCTAACATAGTATTTCAGCTACCCTAGTGGAAATATCGCTGTCATCATTACCACCACAGAGAAAGGAAAGTTTACGTACATTGCATATGAGGTAATTTCATGATTTATATCATTAAAGCCTGCATATCCAGGTATTCCTAGCTGCTTCGAGTGAGTTTTGGCCGCGCTAGAATGAGTGGCTAGGAGCGCATGGATATGCAGGCTTACTATATCTTAGACCTAACATACAATGCACAGCAAGACAACAAATCATGTTGCAATATGAAATCTTCTTGAAACTTTTTATGGTTTCTACTGGTAATCCTGAACATCCATTTTTTTGTGTCTTTTTGTTGCAAAAAACTTGCAAGTTGTTGTGCTGTTTTTGTAAAGAAAACTAAAAAACACATTACTTGTACAGTAATAGGCACATTGCCTTCACTGTGAAATTAGTGTTTGGCACAATGCCTGCTATACAACTATCATTCATTCAAAGTTTTCATAAAGTTTCTCTCATTACTAGGATAATAATGACTATGATGCCACTCAGTCTGGAATGCTTGCTGTGTTTGACCCATCAGGCCATGGAACATGCTATTTTAGAAATGGAACCGTCAGGTAGGAAATAAAGCACCTATTCATCATCCCCTTTAGATATTTGAAGTTGCATTTACAACTGTACTTGTGTTAATTAAAATACAATTCTAGAATAAGAGAATGGTCATTTGACTAGAGAATAGTGTAATGAGCTATCGAGGTACCATTTATTGATTGCCTGTCTGGACTGGAAGTGCCTGGGCTCAGAGGCATTGAGGGTTGGGTAGATTGGGTGGGGAACACACCTGACAATGTTTGAACACCCTGACAAATTTTTGTTTATGCTACCGGGACATTATCCAAGTAGTTCCATTAATTTCTCTATATGTCCTTAGGCTTGTGCTTGATCCTTATGGGGGCGTATTATTGGATGTACGAGGTGCACGGAGGAAGAAGTGGTCATGGCACAACACTAAAGCGCATGTCCATGCTCCTCCCTTTCAGCCAATCACGTTCAGTATCACTAAACAATTGTCCGTTCGTTGCCTAACACAGGTAAGAATTTCATCCACAACATTTTTTTCTATTCCTCTCTTGCACTAATGTGAGAGGAAAACCCGACTTCGCGTACAAGAGAATTCTTTTCTAAAACCTGATATAGGTTTCCATACAAAGGAAGGATTGTTAGCGACTATCATGAAGCGCGATTTGTCCCAATTATTATTATTATCATTGTTTTAACCAATAGACCTATCCCACACTCGCTTGAATGAACTCGACGTACGAAACAATGGCTTCAAGTCAAGACTGTAGTTTTATCTTTTGTCGGAAACTCAAGCCTTGAACTGAAGCCTCTGAAGCCATTGTTTCGTGTTCATCCAAACAAGTTTGGGATTGACAATCTAATATCGATTAATTATGGCAAGAAAATTTAAAATGTTCTGTCTCCGTTATAAAGCCATGCCTTTGGTCTCAGTCAAATTGAACATTTTGAAGAGACATATAGAACGAATAAGTATAAACGAAATTACTTTTGTGGCAGGATAAGATTATACTAACGTACAACCATGGGAAGTATACTGCCAAATTTAATGTTGGATCAAAATTAAAGGTAAGAATTGCAATTTATTTTGCCGCATTGAGCCTCTTGTGTTTAGTGTTTGCGTACAAACTCCCTACATCATCTCCATGCCTTGTGAACTTGGTATACTACTTTCCCAACTTGGGTAAGGGTGTGCCGCAATTAGTTCAAAACCCTGAGCCTATCCCAGACCTAAAAGTCGAAAAACCATACCCTAACCATACCCTGATACCCGGCACAAATCCGTATAGCAAATATAGACAACTATATTTTATCAGAGGTATTCACATATCATGTTGGTGATGTTACTAAGGCATCTTACATTTCCTCTATTTTTATCAATTTTAATACAGGCCGTACGAGGACTCAGGACTCCTCCACTCGACCGTGACGATTACGAAGTGCACCTGGCAGAGGTCAAACAGTTTATCAAGTAAATGCAATGAATTCATGTATTCAAATAAGTGACAATTTTAAAGCTATAGCTCATTCATTCATTCATGATCCAGTCTCGTTTAACACCTATGAGAGGCCGGGGAGGGGACTCCCTTATAAAAGCTGGTATGTATTCTCGACGGACCTTTTAGGGTCGAAAATAGAACCCTAGAAAAATAGAAAGGTACTATCGACATTGATTTTCTACAGTTTGTTAAACTTGAGCTTTTCTCTTGTTAAAGGCGTCAAAAAAGGTCGTACCTTTTAGGGTCTGGAATCGACACTTGAATTAATGTACGCGTACCTTTTAGGGTCATTTTTCAATCCGTCCGTCGAGCATACCCACCAACTTTTTTTTATCTAACAAATACCGGGATTCAAGTCGAGTCATAAAGGACTCGGCTCACGTGATCGGCTCAAGTAAAATACGATGAAGTGTTAGAATAGCACGAAAATGAAGTGTTCCACGCATCTACAACAAGCATGATTATTTCTTTTACAAGAGTACATGGTTTGTACTCATTGGATCAATCACTTTGCCCAACAACCTTTTTTAAAAGGAGTTGCCTCATGTACTCGCTGGATTTGTCGCTAACAATGTTTTTTCTTCATTAGCATTGTACTCGACCGCACACAAAATGCACTTCGTCTACCGAAGTACTCTCGTTTAGACAAGATTCCACTCCCCCACAGGCTTCAGAAGGCAAAGGAAACTCAACGAGGGAAATTGAGTGCGTTACGAACACCAAGTCAACAAGGTGCAGATTCGACTACAGTTACTGTAAATTAGATTATTAGACTTAGTATTCTTTGTTTTTAATAATTTATGTAAAAAGATATTCCTTGTTTTGTAGTTGTTTATAGTATATTAAAGATATTTTTCTATTACTTTCTTTCTCCCTTTCTGATTTTACCACATGACGGTCGCTAAAGATAAACATTACATGGGTGGATCCAGCTGATGGGTGCAGGGGTGCGCACCCCCCCCCCCCCCCCCCCCCTGAGGAAAATCCTGCATCCGCCCCTGCATTATCTGTTAGATTAAGAAATCACATGCTAACAAGAGCCGAAATCAATGATCACTCGTCCATTACATTACTGCAAACTGTCCTTGCGCACGCGGAATTGGAAATTATTTGAATCAACGTAGTCAACGTTCAGGCTAAAACAATTCAAGTTTAGAAACATCTTTTTTATCATTTCTTTATTGCATCAAACGGATGCTGATCCCAGATGCCTTTGCGAACGCAAATTCGGTCCCAGCCCTTAACACAAATGACCAACTTGCGTTCATTCAATTCGAAAAATAAGGGCGCACAGCCTTTATGACACAATGCGCAATTCCATTACAAACTTTTGTCAAAGTTTGCTAAAAATGTCTGGTGAAACCACAGGGCGCCCGGGGTCAGCATGCACTTGTATTGCTTTTCAAGGCGGAGTCAATATATTGCGCGGTTCGAGCGCTATTACGGCTTCATTTAAAATGAAGCGGTAAATTTTTTATCCTTCATTTGAGATTTTGTTGTTTTTCCTTTTTCCTTTAAAGCCATTTGTGACGAAAGGCCTTATGGGGCCTCTCGTCATCGTATTGAGTGACAGACGTAACCATCCACTTGTAGCAGGCGTTCCTTACGAGTCCTTGATATGTTTAAATTGAAAAGGGAAAATCTCTTAAAAAAAAAAMAAACAAACAAACAAACAAACGAAGTAACAACGGCAAAGAAAAGAAGGAAAGAAAAAAGTACGAAAAAAAAGAAGAAACAAACGAAAAAGAAACAATAAACAAGCGAAAAAAGAGAAGTTCCGGAAGCAGGGCTCGAACTCAGAACTTTCACTTCAGGAGAAGATGTAACCCCCCGGAATACATAAGAAATAATGAAAATAAAAAAACTAAAAAGGTGGGACGATTCCCCCGAGACATTCTATGAAGCTGAGGCGTCGAATCGGCTTACGWTACGGYTAGAGATTTCGGCTCTTCCACGCTATCCCGAGTGAACATAAAACTTAGTCTTAACCAAAAGGCCAGGGAGTGAGGGGGTAGCCGCCCACTAGAGCATACCTTTAGCTACCCTCTTAGACCATCGTACTATGAAGACACTTATAGATATCTGATATCTAATTGGGGTAGTCTATTCGGTGAAGTTCTATACTAATATATGACGTCACAGAAATCCTTAGGGATCAGCGAGCCAATCAGAGCTCAGCTCGGGATACAGGCTTTGCATTATCATTCTTCAGTGGATTTATTATTTGATGGGGGTGGGGATGGGTGCTGAGTGCTGGTTTAGGGCCGAATACTGGTATTTGATGTATATATGACGGCTTTCACCAAGCTGTCGTTATTGTTTTCCAAATCATCACAGGAAAATTAGGTGGACAATTCTTATATCAGACATTATTAGTATTCGGATAAACACCAGAGCACAAATCTCTTGAAATTCTTAACATAAGTGGTTTACAAACCAGGCAGATATTTGCTGGAAGTCAACGGAACACAATTAAAAACCTCTAGAACGTTCCATGCACATTTTCGTTCTTGATGATATAAAAGTTTACACATTATCGAATATAAATATAGCGTATGTTTTGTAACATGAAGAGGATAAATGATAATCTGTATAATTGATAAGGAAATCAAGGAAAACTTTGCAAGCTTTCGGTTTTATTGCAAAACTATAATCAGGCGAATGATAGTAATAAACATGCGCGGATGAAAAAATACAGTTTAGATAATAAAAACATTATATCGAAGAAAACGTTCGAGGATTCATCATAAGTTCACAAGTCAACAGACAGAAATATGTCTATATTACCTGGACAGCTAAATTAAAACTCTAAGGAACGCTCAAAAAATCCCTTTTCGGGATCTTTCAGATGGATATGTTTACTCATAGGCAGGGAAACAGCTAGGGCGCCCCGCGTCAGGCCCCACGGGAAGAATGATCAACCATCACAATAGGTTCCTTGGCCCCTGGGAATCGCTGCCTGTTGTGTATATTCATAGGCAACATAATGGTTGATCGCCACGTGATGCTTCCAGTTCCTTTTACTTTTAAATCGAAATACAACAACATGTTATATTGAAATCTTTTACGGGAACACTAACTGGTCTTTTTCTTGGATATGGTCAACATTTAAACCAATTTGTCTTGAATAGGGTCATACTTCCCAACTATTGCTTGAGCTGCGGCAAAGTCAGGATCCCGTGTTGCACGGGATGCAAACTAGTCTGTTTTATTTTACTATATGATTACAATGAACCAACTAGAACTGAGCGAGAAATTTTCCTGTATTCAAGAGCCACTGTGTTTCGTCGAGCATGCGCAATGAGACATTCATAGCAGTGGGTACAAGATTGTCGGTTTCAAAGTTTGGGCTTCCCGTGATGCACCTTGTTCGTAGCGGATCCCTGGATCGTGACTGATTGATTGAAATATGTGAAAGTTAATGTGGTGAAATATGAAGAACGTCCCTCTGAAACCAATGATTTGATTAATTTATCATCCCACCTTCTACGCAACACGCATCTCTGTGCAAGATTGGCAAAGTTTGTTTTTTATATATAAACGCTTTGCCGTGTGGAATTTGTTTTGCGTCTGGTATCAAAGTATAATGAACTTGCCAACTGAATAAAATTTTCAGTCAGTTTGTTCCAATGCGGCCATCAACATGTTTAAATTCACGTACGGTAACAAATAGATTTATGTTGTGCGAAAAGCTTGATGTTCTTTTTTGATATAGTTTGTAATTATAAGTAATAGCATGGCTCTGAGGGAGATTAGGGATTAAATGTCCCCGAAGCCGAGGGCAGATAAGTTGAAGTCCCGACGGCCGCAGGCCGGAGGGACTTTTACTTATCTGCCCGAGGTGGAGGGACATTTAATCCCTAATCTCCCGAGGAAGCCATGCTATTACTTTGTAATACCATGATTTCCGAGGAAAAAATTGAAGTTGAACTTGAGCGAATTTGAATTCTTGTTTTTTTGTATGCTCCAATGTTTTCAAT